TCCATGTTCAGGCCAGGAGGGAGGCCCATCTGTTTCTCAGCCAGCTGTTGCTGATAGAGCTCTTCAGGCAGGCCCTGTGGGTTGGGGAACCGCTCCCCTCGGCCAGGGCCACTGAAGACACCCTGGCCAGGAGGGAAGTTTCGGCCATCTGGGATTTTTGGCACATCATCTGGCCAACTAACTCCCGAAAGCCCAGGCCGGGAGGCAGGATTCGGGACACTGGGGCCCTCCATGTCAGGGTTCATCATTCCTGCAAAACCAGGCAGGCGTATCTGGCTCCCAGGCATGTTGGGATGAGGGGCCATGCCCCTGGGGGGCAGAGAGTGTGACATGTTCATGCCTTCAGGGAAGGGCTCTGGACCCCCAGGTCCCCATCCCTCCCCAGGGGTCATCTGGTAGGGAGGGGGAGGGCCTCGGACCACCCCACGAGGCCCGTGCTGGTGGACCATCATGTCCTGGAGGGAACACTGCTGCACAACCACCTGCTCTTGCTTTCTCCTCTTCTCCTCATAAAACTCCTGCTGCAGCTTGAGCCAGGCCACCTGCTCAGGAGTCATGTGGTCCAGGTGGTCTGGGCCTATGGGTCCTGACTGGGAGTTCATTGGTGGTGGCCCCATTTCATCTGGGGAAAAGGGCATGTCCCTGTGTCCTTGAGGGCCAAACGGAGCCCCTCCATCTGTCCGAGACCCTGACCCTTTGCCTAAACTTTGGGATTGAGCCATCATGGCCTGTATCGGCCCTTCAGGTTTCTTTTGGGGACCATCCAGCACCCCAGCGTTTGGGGGTGGTCCCCCACTTTGCCCTCCCGCAAACTCCTTCTCATCAGGGAAGAGCATGCGCTGTATGTCTCTCAGGGTCTGCAACGAGCGTTCTCGATGCTCCAGCTGCTCCTGTGACAGTCCATCTGGATTCTCACCCAAACTGGATGGGTCCCCACCAGACACCTGCTGGGGAGGACCTTTGGGGTCTGCAGCAGAGCTATTGCTACCTTGGGAAACTGGACTAACTGCTCGATTGTTGGGGGTCGAGCTCTGCCCAAATCCTTCTGTCTGCAATGGGGTAGAGTTGGCAGGGCTGCCCACAGACATCACTTTGCTTTCCACGCTGGGACTGTCCTGATCTATGGGGCACGGGGGGCCAGTGGATTTGGATACCGGTGCTGATACGGGTGGAGTCGGCTGCATTTTGGCATTCTGGGGCTGGTTCTGGTCTTGGGCAGCTGGGGGCTGCGGCTGCGGCAGGGGTTTGGATTCAGTCCGAAGTGCAGTGATCTGGGGGTTCTGCAAGAGAAAGCCACATGTTGTCACTCGTTCATCTTACAACCGTGTCACATAAGCAGAGGTGCAGACGAAACGTCCTGTCTCAACACCACCAGCCCACAATTTGCAAGGAAGGTCAGCCTTCATGCAGTGATTACAATGCAGCATCTTGGCCATGCAGATACATATTTTGCTCAATTATTACAGCAGGTACCCCATGGTTCTGTGCTAGCTCAGCACAAGCAATGGAAATATACTACCCAAATAGTGCAAGACTCAAGCTCTTCTTTGGGTCATCCAAGACATTTATTTGCAAAAGAGTAGCACAACAACTGTCTCTTTTTTTCCACCTTAAAACTTACTTCAGCATGCAAATAATCATCCATCTCTCTGAATCACACACACAAGCACATTTACCATTTCCTTTCCCACCCACATGCAGGTATTCCCTACCAAGGGTACAGTGTTTCGTTCTGCCTTGCTGTTTGAGATGTTCTGGATATGAAAGGACACGATGGTTTCTACCTGTCCCTTCAGCACAGCTTCTGCAGCCCTGCAAAGACAGACAGATGCACATATCCAGTTGAAGCAAGGAATGAATTTTTCTTAACTGTCCTCCCTTCTATCCTTTAGCTGGCAGAAGGGAGAGAGACTTAACCACACATATTTCACTCTAGATGAGTAGCAAAAGAAAAATGCTTACATCTACAAACTCATCAGCATTCAGGGTTCATGTCTCAGTTTAAGCCATCCTGGCTGCTACTCACTGCATGGATTGCAAAACAGTATCTACCAGCATTTGCCAAAAAAAACACACCTTGGAGGAATAAATAATCACTTCTTAGAGGGCAAGAGGTAGCAACATACTCCACTCCGGCCCCTTCAGCATCCCCAAAACAAGTAATGACTTTTTGCTGCAAGAAGGCACTTGATGAAGAAAGTGCACTTGAGAATCTCTTAAAAAGGGAGCACAAATATAAGCCCAGCTCTCTGGAGACATTGAAGCATCTACCTACTTACTTGTTGGCCATCTCAGTAGAAAAAACATAAACCACTTTGGATGGAGTCTTCTGCCCACTTGCTGGCTCCAAAGCAGCAGTCAGGCCATGGGAAGGTGTGGAAGACCTTGGGGCTGAAGCATTTGAAGGAGTCATGGAGTGTGGTGTGTGCTGAGAATCCTGGGACTTCACATGATCAGCAGAATTGCAGTCTGGAAGGGGAGAAAGAGGAGAAGAGAGGAATCACTACCTTGGGAGCTCTTTGGAAACCATTTCTGGGAACTGACCAGAGCTTTTCCTCCTCTGAAATTTCTCACTTCCCCCTCAAGCACTACTAAAGGCCTTTCTTCTGTTACACCATGCATCTTCCCTCTACTGCCATGCTGCCCTTCAGGTACCAGCAGGAGAAAGCTCATCTTGTCCCTTTCCAAGACAAGTGGCAGTTCCCAAAGCCGATCCCTTTGAATTCTCTAATGGCCACACAGAATAGCAGGAAAATTACACATGAAAATGAACAAATATAAATATGTCTGTGCCCAAGGAGAACACTCTGTGCAGCACTTTATTTTTTGCCCCCCCTTCAGCCACCCCAGCCAGGTGACCTAGAAAATGCACAATAAAGGAAAGATGGACAACTGCACATCTATCCTGTTTCTGCACTGCCTCACAGGGGCAATGTTGGAGTCAGGAACAGAACACAGATATCCAAACTCTCTGGCTTGTGTTACCAGTCAGGGTGCTAGAGGTTATGTATCTGTGTTGACAAAACAGGCTGGCATATTGTTCAAAATGCCAGTTACAACAGAGCAGTTCCTGAAAGGCCAAAGGCCAGAAGAAAACCAACAGGTTGCATTTGTACTTTCAAATCATCTGGGGGAGTTTCAGAGTTACAAAGGAACCTTCCCACCAGAGTAAGGTCTGCACTTTAACTGAGTATGAACAGGACATTTACCGACACCAGCTATGACAACCTCTCCTCTTCACCTGCTCTCAAGACCTTTAGACTTGGTTGGCTGGAACTTACAGAACCCCAGACAAATAAATGTTTTGCTAACACTTGCATAGCGATTCTCCATCTGACAGAGGACTCAGACTAATTGCCTGCACTTGCGCATGAATCCCAGCAAACATACCTTTGATTTCGGGGTCATCATTGGGAGTCCCAGCTTCCCTCTGTTCAAAGGAGTCTGCTGAAATGCTCCTCTCTCTCTTCCCCTTCCCCTTGGCACCATTTCCAGCCCCATTCTTCAGCCCCATGCTCCCACCTGGGCCAGGGAGCACTTTGGGGGGGTGACCTCCACTTTTGGGGTCACAGGGAGAGGGCTGTGATTGGCTGGTGGAGCCCCCTTGTTTGCCCTGGTTGGAAAATTTGGAATCCAGCTGGGGGTTGCCAGACGGGGACATCACTGTAGGGGGACGGACCATCACCTCCGGCTTTGATTTGGGGCTACTGGGGACAGAGCAAAAAAAGGAAAAGAAAGAAAAAAGTGACAAATCACACCAGGGATTCATTCAACCCTATAGGAACAGATTAGAGAGAAACAGAAACAACCACTGCCACCTTTGCAAGCTAAGACAATTGCTGACAAATAAAAAATGCCTGCAAGCTGAGAGTCATGCAGGTGCTTTTTTGAACATGCCCTGAAAGGGTTATTATCCAAGATGGGATCTCATTGCTCAAGAAGGCACTAGGGCAAGCTACAGGCCTGCCAGATCCCAGGACCTGCTGTCACATGAGGACCTACCTCTGGGGCTTCTGTCAATAAAGACAACGGTTTCTATGTGCACAGAGAAGCGCCTCACACCAAGACCAGCTCAGAGTAAACAAACAAGGCACAATAAAGTTCACCTTGCCACTCTCCTGGACCCCAACTATATGCTACCACTTTGATCAGAGTAGACCCCCCCCCCCCCCCCCCCTGCCCCCCCCCACCTTTGGGGCAGCGCCCCCCCCCCCCCCCCCGCCTTGCACCTCCCTATCCAGTTCTACAGGGAGCACAAGGAAAACCCAGCATTACTGCAGCATTCATCATACATTGGGGCGAGCTGCCAGGAAAACACAAACCTCTGACCGTGAAAACAATTAAACCAGCTACAACCTGCCTCTGCATAAGGAAAGAGAAGGATACCATCTCCCTGCACACTCCTGCAAAATGGGGTAGATGAAGTTTCTTTAATTTGCCAAAGGAAATTCAGAGTCTTCCCTTCCCTCTCCCATTCAGCAAATTGCATCCTAAAAATATTTTGTTCCTCTGCGTTTTACACACTATTAGCCACCCCTTACTCCTCACCCTCCATCTACTCCATTACTATCAGACCTTCTGTATTGTGTTTTCTCATCATCACTGCCACTTCCAACAGGCAGTCCTCGCTAGCACCATGGGACTCGCACAAGCCATTTCCTCCTTCGGACAGACATCTGACTCAGAGGCATTCCCTCTGAATTACTCTTAAGCTCCAGATGACCTCTAGGAGTAAATAATCAAACTCAAGAATGCTGTCAATCAGACCACTGTAAGTCCCTGGATAGTGCTTCGTTTCCGTATTTTTCCCCTTCCAACTCAGCAGAGGAGAGATGCTGACCTGCTGCACTGGCAGGTGAATGATGCAGAGGATCTCAGTGTACAGCTGATCAGTTCTGCAGGCTGTTCAGGCCAATAATACAGAGGAAGCATTTTGCATGAAAGTACAGACAGAGAGGCCTTCTGCTGCCCAACTACCCCTCAGGAAAACAAATAATTAGAAGATGGTGAAGAAAAAAAAAACCCAGGTAGAATCAGCGTGTTTACTCTTCTACAGTCTATTCAGACACCTGGTGGGAGGGAGGAGGGCAAAAGGAATGGAGAACCTGCACCTCACAGCTTTAGAGCTTTCAGCTCATCCTGAGCCTAGCAAACATGGAGGCTCGTCAGCACTGTGCAGCCAGCACTCTGGTACTCAGCGGGTCCGACAGGAGCACAAGGGAGGACCAGTAAGTAACATGCACCAGTCCTTGGCTAATCCTGCAGCACAGTATCATGCACCAATCCACAGCAACTGACTGCAGGCTCTTTTCCTTACCTCTGTGTGTTGCCTGACGGGGAGTTCCTCACTTTGGGGTTACTGGAATGCATTGACAGAAATCCTGAGCTCACAGTCTCACACGCACGCAGATGGGCTCTCGTCAAGTTCCTCTGGGGAGCGTGCCACCAGAGGCAGCGTCAAAGCAGTTTCTGCCACCCGCTTCTCTCAATGCTGGCTGTCTGCTTGCCTTTTTTCTCTTTGCTCCTCTCTGGTTTTGCACAGGGCACTTCCCTCCTGCAGCTCCAGCATTCTCTAGACGCGTGCCTCCTGCTGCCCAGGGGAAGTCTCGCATCTCCAGGGCACACTGTTAAACCCCCCACACAAAAAGAGAACAGAAAATCAGTGAGGAACTTTCCAAGCAGATGTGTCTGGTGTGAAGCAGTGAATGGCAATTCCTGCCCCATTACTGAGAAGACACAGAAGAAGAGTTCAAATGGCTCAGTACAGCTGTGTATTTCAAACCGAAGGCAGCGCTGGCCAACCATTCAGTTTACAGGCAGGTGAGGCCACCTTCCCTTCATCCAAAGCAAATCATTCTGGAGTCAACAAAACTGGGAAGCACCTGGATAGGAAGTATCTGGACACTTTGATTCAGCATCAGTGCTCAGCCTGAAGACACCTCACAGCATGTCAGTAGGAAGCCAAAATTACAAATCCCTAACATGATTCAGCTATCCAGAATTCTCCTGTGAATAGCCATAACCTGGTATTTCTTAAGAATGTAAATTCTGCTCAGATCTCTTCTGTCTTCTTGGTCCAATATAGCTAGACATATGTTCAATGATGTGTGCTAAGGGTTGCACAAAGGGAGGAAAATAAACTAAAATGCCTTCCTGACCACCTGTAAGCAACCAGCTATGCTGTGATTACTCTGAAAATACCAGAGGTTTGTCACTCATCATATCTCTTTGAAAGGCCAAAAGATCACCAAAGAACTATGCCTCTAAATTTGCTCAGAAACTCTATACACACTGTTGAGACTTTAAAAAAAAAAAACAACAAGACACCAACACTTTTTCAGCGTCTTTCTAAGAAACAATATGCATGATGCAGGCACTAAGGCACATAAAACTGTTTCTGGAGGAGGAAACTATTGAACATTACTGTTTACATCCTTTGGGCTAAATTATTTTGGAGCAAGTTTCTGTCTTGTTTATATTTCAACAAAATCTCTCCTGTTCATCTCACCTACTCAGATGCAAATCCACTTAATTTAGAATCTAACCAAGATTTATTGTTAATGTATTAAGCATTGCTAGTTAAATATTATTCAAATGTAAATATTCCCAGTATTCCTTCTCGGCACCAAAGAAGCAGTTTCTTCCCGTGTATATCAAATGAAACAAAATAGATCTCACCAGACTGGGAGCGTCTTGAATTTTATGAAGAAACTACTGTTCAAATTGCATTTAGAAAACAAAAATTGGTTTGCTTACATGCTGACACCAGAGGATTAAGAAACACAGGCACTATATGACACCTCTGGCCAAGGACAGTTATCAGTAACTTGTGGTATTGAGCACCATGGTTTTCCAGTTCCCCAAATTTATCTTGTTGTGAGGTTGTGGCATTACACTTTATAGTGGCTTTGCACTGCTGTACTTTAACATGATAGTGCTCCACACTGCAGTTGTTCCATGAAACTCTGCATCATCTCCAAAAATTCTCCTCTCTACCACATGACCTCTGCATGAGCCAGAGAAATCATCCTGCTCCCTATTCTCACCTCCGCTGTGCTGCACAAACCCATTAATGAAGGGAATGTTTCTGCAATAAAGGTCTCATTTTTAATGCCTCCTATTAGGCAGAATCAGATGAACTCCAGTGTGAGCCACACACTCCACAGGATCTACATCCCTCTCCAGAGCTATCAGCTGGTTATCCCACTGACTTGGAGAACAATGTTGGAGTTACTTTATTACTATTGTTACTACTATCATGCTGTAATTGGAGCTGGTGTTATAGATACATTAAAGACAAGCAAGAACATCTTCACAAGTATCTAAATTGTACCATCTTTGCATGCAAATTTGGCTCCTATGTCTGTTTTGACAACAAAACCGTAACATTATCAACAACACCAAACTCCACTTTTCAAAAGAGATCTATGCATCTGTAAAAGTTAATGGAATTCAGCAATACTTTGGGGTCCTCACTTAAGGTGAAGGTATGACTGAAAATATGGTGAATTTCAGGTAAAAAAGGAAAAAGGAACAATAGCATCGAAGTGAGCAGAGCTCAATGCTAAAAGCAGGATGTAGAGGCCTGTGTGATGAACTTAAGTATTCTAGTTGTTTAATTCTCTGCTTTTCAATTTTTGATACTTATGCATTATCATGTTACCTTTTATTATAAGGTGAGAGTTTTCTCAGATTCCCAGTCTTGCACAGTGCAATGAGAAAACATGAAGAACAGAATCAGGATCACAATGGCTGCACAATATCTCTGACATCATCAAACTTCCAAGTATTTCGGGGGGTGAGGGGGGAACCCTTCAGTTTTTTAAACCTACTTTTTTATTATCCTATATGCATGTATCTTCCATCTATTAGAATTGATGTGCTCTGCAAGGGAACTGTATTTTCCAATCTCAGTTTAAATTTCTTCTTACCAGAGAGAGCTATAAAGGACACATCAATATATTCACTGGTGGAACAATGGCAACTCAACTTCCTCCGCTTCTCATTTCTGCACACTGGGAATGTACCATTTTTTTATAGTGTGAAATGGAATGCCTCATGATTTTTCTAAATGCACTTCTAACGTATGTATGTCTGGGAATCTAGGGTTCAATAATGGAAAAGCTCTAGAGAAATGTATTTTTGCATCTGGAGTCTGCCCGCCATAGCAAAGCCTTTATCATTACTCCAAAATTAAAGGTAGGGTCACTGACAGTGAATGGTCAAGCCACTTTTCAAGACATTTTGGGAAGCTACATCCAAGGCTGTATTTTCAGGATTGCTTTAAGGTATGCCAGGCAACGGCTGCAGGGATTCAGCTGGCTAATCATTTTCACCACCTCTTTCCTGACCAGATCAGGGAAAGATCTGAATGGGAACTAACCCAAGGGAAACAGCAGAAATCTCTATTCAGCTGGATTAGTCCCCTGTTCTGGTTGATCATGTAACCACATCAGTGCCACTGCAAGCTCAAAGAAGGAGGTGAGAACAGGTGGAAAGTAGCCTCACCCCACTTGGTTGCAGTTTACAATTTGGATAGCTTAAAATGACTTCAAACCTCAGTTGCAGAGACAAAAGGAGATGGACCCACATTTGTGGAAATGTAACAGGTCCTCAACTTTCCAACAAGTAGCTTACCAAGACCCCTGGTGTCACGACACTGCGGTACTCATTGTGGAGGCCATGAGTTGCGAACCACTCGTGTCACAAGAAAAGATCACCTGGAAAAAGAAGAGAGAGGAAGAGTTTCACCAACAAGAATGCACAGCCAAGCCCCTCCCATGCATCCAGCCACAGAAGCAGAGGAATCAAAACTTGCTCTGAACCACTGACAAGGGGAAGCCTCTGCTCAGACTGGTAAGATCTGTCAGCACCAAAAAAGCCACCATCAGACTGAAAGAGTCTGAAGATGTGTGCGGAACCGAGGGGAAATAGGTCAGACCTGCTTTAGCCCTCCCACATTTGAGCTAGCTGGATTCCCATGAGCTCATCTGTGCTTAGAGAAGCTGGCACAAAGCTCGGACACGTAACCTCCCCTTCTCTGCACCCATCTCTCTTCAAAGGCTCACCTTCTCTTCACTATGAGCCCAGCAACTTCTGCCAAACCCCTGTGCTGCATATATACAACCTCCTCCACAGCCAGACAACGTATAAATAAAAACATCAAGCATCATGTAAAGCCAGGCAATCGCTCAGTCACATCTAGGAGAAATCCAGGCAGGTTTTAGAAGGAAGAAGCACTCTCTACTGTTCTGGCAGCTCCTACTTCACATCATTGTGCTACATTACATGGACAAGGGAATCCAACTGCAAACCTTTCCACGACATACTGCAAGTTTGCTCAAGATAGAGGGGTTAGCCCCACCTTGCACTATGGTTATTTCCCCACAAAGGCCAAAAGAGTTCATGGCCCAAGAACTGATCAGCCACACTTTCAGTAATGGAGACAACCCTGCTTCAATCAATGTTCACTCACATGTTAAAGCAAGCTTAAGTGCCTGAAAGTTCTGTAATACACAGAAACACAGACTCTGAGGCATGGCTTAATGGTAAATTTGAGGTCAGTAAAGAAATACAGAGCAGCTACCTGCCAGCTTCTCTCTTACCCACTGTGAAAACTGGAGAGGCTGCAAGAACAGTATGAATCCAGACCACATTCACACTGTCAGGCCCAGCACAGTGTCTCATAGGACTATCAGTTATTTACACAGCATGGGCAACCTTGTAGTTAAAGTACGACTGCAAACTGAAATCACTGCCAGAGGTTTTCTGTGTAATCCTGTATTGAGTTTGCATGGCAAGGTTTTGGTAGCGGGGGAGCTACAGGGGTAGCTTCTGTGAGAAGCTGCTAGAAGCTCCCCCCGTGTCCGATAGAGCCAATGCCAGCCGGCTCCAAGACGGACCCGCTGCTGGCCAAGGCCGAGCCAAATAGCAACAGTGATAGTGCCTCTCTGATAACGTATCTAAAAAGGCGGAAAAAAACTGCGCAATTGCAGCCGGAGAGAGGAGTGAGAATATGTGAGAGCAA